AAAGCTACTGAACTAACTACAGAGGTCTGAGGGACTTTGGGGCTGCCAACATGGATTTTCTCTGATCCCCATGGCCAATATATCAGTCTGAGCCCCAAGGCTCCTAACTTACCTGGCTAGGGGCTCAACTGGGGGTCATTGTGTCAGTGGAGCTACATGCGTTGCACCAGAAAAGAACCAAATCCACTGCATCCCAGTGGAAACCATCCATTGGGAGGTGTTGGGTCACATGTACATGCACAGTGCTGGGCTCTGAACCAACTATCACCACTCAGGAAAGAGACTTTGGAGTCGTTGTAAATAGTTCTGTCAAACAAAACACAGCAGCAGCAAAAAAACCCCCAACGTGATTCAATGTGCAGTGGCAACCAGAAAAGCCACTTAAAAGTTAGGTATCATTACGAAGGAAATTGAAAACAAAATGGAAGCACCATTAATGCAACGGTATAAATCCATGGCGCACCCACACCTTGAATAGCATGTGCAGTTCTTGTCTACACATCTTAAAAAGGATTTAGTGGGATTAGAAAAGATACAGAGAAGGGCAACTAATATGATCAAGGGTTTGAGGCTACTACTATACTGGGAAAGACCACGACCCCTTCTTGCTTGACCATGTAGACACCAATGATACTGCCAGGAAAGACACTGAACAGATCAGAGGTGACTATGAGGCTCTTGGCAGGAGGTTTAAGGAGCTTGGAGCACAAGTGGTGTTTTCATTGGGCTGCTGTCAGACATCGAAGTGGGATTATCTAGATAAGGAAGGGGCAAGCTGCGAGAGGAGATAAGAAAAGAGACTTTCAAAGAGCTTTTATTGGGCTTGAATGAATTCAAGTCAGCAGGGTCAGATGAGCTTCATCCCAGGATCCTGAAGGAACTGGCAGAGGAGATCTTGGAGCCCTTGGCAATGATCTTCACGAAGTCGGAGGACACAGGCCAGGTGCCAGAGGACTGGAAAAGGGCCAGTGTAGTGCTTCTCTTTGTTTTCAAAGGCAAAAAGGAGGATGTAGGAACTACAGACCAGTTAGCCTAACCTCAATACCTGGGAAATTACAGGAACATATCCTAAGGAAGGTGATCTGCAAGCATCTGGAGGAGGAAAGGCTGATCACAAGCAGCCAGCCTAGATATATGGGGGAAAAAATATTGTTCCAAATTTCATCCACTGAGCGGGTCATTCCAGTCATTCAGATTTGTGTGGCACTGCCACCAGCAAGTATCTTCCCTTCCAGACTCTTCAGCCTAAGGTTTCAGATACTCTCAAATCCATGGGCAGGCATCCTGTGTACAGACCCCAAGGATGGGGGTCTTGGGGTTTGGATGGCCCTGAGTCTTGCTTGCCCTTAGCCAACTGACCAAATAAGCAAGCTAGGGAGAAATCCCCCATCTTCACAAAATAGGCATGTAGTCAAGATCCTCCCATTGGCAGACTGTAGCAGACTCTTGGAGAAGTTGTGAGGGCTGTCTGCAGTACATTGGACAAGTCTCCATTCTTCACTACACAATGCCATTCAAGGTGATCTGAGGTCTGTGGGAAAACCACCTTATGGTATCTCCCTTGCTGAGGTTGTAATATTTGCAAGTAAGTACAGAAGTGCTGCTTAAAAGGGCACATATGTAGTATCTGTTCTAAAACTTGCAGCAGTTTCAGAGGAAGTAAACTGCATCCATTCTGGATCAATTCTGCATCAATTCCCTGCGGGGGGAAGACCCACACATTTTTTTTTAAGGGACACAGACACAGGGGAAAAAACAAAAACAAACTGTCCTTGTGGTAGGACAGTTAGTATGTTTGCTCCATATTGGCCATGTGTTTTATAGTCTTTCTCAGTGTTGGCTGCATTTAATCAACTTCATAGCTAGTTTTCATTAATAAGCACATGCTGTTTTTGGCAGCAGTTAAATGATAGGAAGTGTATTTAATTAGGTTTCCTTATATGCAAATGTAAGACAAGGGTTTTTTTCCCTTATGTTAATTGTAGGGGAAACCCTCATCTTGTATTCAAGTAAATATGGTACTACAGGACAGATGGATAACTTGCTCAGTAGCCACAAACAAAGGGCATTTATTAACAGGTCCACATCAGAATAGTAGGAGGCTTCAAGTAGAGTCCTGCAGGGGTCTGTTCTGGGCCTGGTGCTATTCAGCATATTTATTAACAATTTGGATGCTGGCATGAAAAGCTTCTGGAGCGAGATTGCAGGTAACACGAAACTGGAAAGGAGTATGGACATGCTGGAGGATGCAAGTACAATTCAGAAAGATCTCAACAGATTGGAAAGCAAGTTCAATGCAGACAAATGCAAGGTGCTACACCTTGGGGTGGAATAATCAAAAACACAAATAGAAAATGGGTGACACCTACCTGGGTGGCAGCACTATGGAAAAGGATTTCAGAGGCTTTGTAGATCACAAACTCAATATGAGTTTGTAGTGTGATGCAGCCACATAAAAGGTACATGAATTTTTAAGATGCACAAAATAGAAGCATTACATGCAAGACATAGGAGGTGATGGTGACTAGTTAGGCCTCATCTGGAGTACTGTGTGCAGTTCTGCGCTCTATATTTTAAAAAGGATGTAGAGAAGTTAGAGAGGGTCCAGAGGTGAGCAGCAAAAAGCTTAAAGGTCCAGAGGTGAGCAGCAAAGAGCTTAAAGGTCCAGAGGTGAGCAGCAAAGAGCTTAGAATGACCAATGACCAAGGGCTTAGAAGGCAAGTCATATGAGGAGATACTGAAGGAACTAGGCATGTTCAGCTTGTGGACAAGGTGCTTAAGAGGGGACATGATAAATGTCTTCAGATACTTTGAGGGCTGCCATAAAGAAGAGGGAAAGCACCTTTTCTGTCTTGATGCAGAGAGGAAGATGCGGACCAGTGGCTTGAAGTTGCAGCAGAGTAAGTTTAGATTGGATATCCGGAAAAACTTCTTCACTGTTAGAACAGCTAAGCAATGGAATAGCTTGTCTAGGGAAGTTGTGGACTCTTCATCATTGGAGGTGTTCAACAAGAGGCTTGACAGCCACTGATCAGGAATGATTTAGGCATAGCTATGCCTGTGTTTTAATATAGGTATTTCCCATGCTTCTGGGCTTTGCTTGTCTGGACAGGGATGATCCTGCCTCAGGCAGGCGCTTGGACTAGATGACTTCTGGAGGTCCCTTCCAACCCTACTTTTCTATGAGTCTATGAAGTCGCAGAATTTGAGAATTAGGGGGCACCCATTGAAATTAACAGGAGAAAGTTTTAAGACAACCAAGAGGAAGTGCTTTCTGTTTGGTGCGTAATTAAATTTTGGAACTCATCACCACAGGAGCTTGTAGGGCAAATAGTATTGCTGGGTTCAAAAAGGAATTAGAAATATTCATGGAGGGTAAGGCCATAAATAGCTGTGAAATAAGAGTCAGGGATGTTTCCTCTGACATCTCACAAGGTTCCTTCCAGCCCTAAACTTCTGTGAATCCCTAAACCAATGATGCTTGGTGCCAGAGAGAGTACAACAGGTAATAGCTCACCTTTGACATGCCCGGTTCTTGTAGTCTCCCTCTAAAGCATCTACTACTTGTTGATGTCAGAGGCTATTTGGCCGAATGGACCATTGGTCTGAACCAGCATGGCACTTTTTGTGTTTTTATGTTCCACTTGGCAATGGGGTTTAGCAGCAATCCCAGCCACAACTTACCCAGGAATCTGTCACACTTCAAGTCATGATGTGGGAAGAGAGGCAGCAGCTGTGTGATTATGGCAACTTGCTTTTTAGCAGGTCTGATTAATTGAATCTCATTTTATAAGTGCTCTCAAATCCCCCCCAAATCCTATCCTTTTGCACATCTGTCTGCATGCACACACACACGCGCAACCCCTCCCCCACGTGGGACACAAGTTTGCAAATTGACAGAGACAGCAGGCGAGTGCTTAATCAAAAATTAATTACAACCTCGTCCTTCTTCATTTGCCGAAGGGTAATTTGAGAGCATCCCTTATAAAATAAAGTTTCTCCCCTCCTCCTTGGAGCACTCCAGAAGATGAAGACAAGAAGTTGAGAGAGGGAGAAAGAAGGGGAGAGAGGTGTTGCTCCTCATAAATCAGATACTGGCACATCTGGCAAAGCTGATTCATCCAAAGGGGGTGGGTGGGGTGTATCCAATGACACTACATAAAATTATAGGATGTGACTAGTGCATTCAGTCCTGATGGCAGCTCCTACCCAAATAGTCTGTCCAAATGAACAACATTGATAAAGATTAGAAGGAAGGAGTTATCATCATCATTATCATTTTACGATGGAGAGTTAAGTTGCCTTGGGATGACATGACTTGTCTAAGGTTGACTCTGTAGTAGAGTTGGGGCTTGAACCCTAGTGTCCTGAGACCCAGCTTAGATGCTGCAGCAGGGCACCGTTTTTAGCTGTGGTTCCTCTTATGGTTCCCAAGACTTACTTGGCAAGAAAAATGCAGTCCAGACTCAAGATTGGTAGCTTGGGGCACATCTTGGGGATGTGAGTCTTCCCCCAATATTTTAGGCTGATTTGGTTTGGCTACTGCGGTGTTATACGAATGCAGACATCAGGGGGGTTTCACTTCACGCCCAGAGGTTTCTGCTTTATGAATGGAAATGCAGCTAAACTCAGCGTGCCAAAATTAAAATCCAGAACCTGTGGGGTCTTGATCTTCTGGGTCTGTTTCATGTGTTCAGGTGAACCACACTTTTGTGAATAGTCCGTTATGAAACCACCCCAAATGTCAGTCTGACATCGCAGGGAAACTGCAAAGTGGTTTTTCTCATTTCAAGCGAGAGGTTTTGGGACGTCCTATTAATTAACAATCTTATAAGGAGCTGAAAATCAACAGGCTTTGTTTTCTGTCTCTTAGCCAGTTTCTAATCCTTGGCAATACGTTGCCTCTCTCTCTTTACACCTACTTAATTTCCTTAACTACCTCTTCTTAGAGAGAACTGAAGGATGATTTGGAAAGCCGGTTGAACAATTTTGGACTGTAAGGTACTCAGACACTATGGGAATATGAATTTATAAGTGCCTGAGGTGGTTAGACAGTGCCAAACACTTCCTGAAAAACCTGATAAATTATACCAACTGCTTCTTCCTTATCCATCATTTTGCTAATATACTTAAAGAATGCTAATAGATTAGTGAGAGACAATTTTTTCTTTGTAGAAGTGGTGCTGCTTCTTCTTCAGTGTATTGCGCTCATCTAGGGGTTTTATGACCCTATCATTTAAACAAATTTACCACTTCTCAAATAGGGTTCACCACTCTGAAATTCCCACTAAAACAGTACAGTGTATGGTAGCCTCCAGTCCTTCAGCAGAAAGCTGATTATAATGACAGATTGCATATTTGTTATAGTACCTCAGGCACTTCACATACAAGTTCATTCAGGGTTCTGGGATGTCCCTAAAGCAGGCGCGGGCAATTATTTCGGGCAGAGGGCCGCTTACTGAGTTTTGGCAAGCCATCGAAGACCACATGACAGGTAACCGGCGGCAGATAAATATTAATTTTCTAAATTTTTAGGGGCTCTGCGGGCCGGATAGAATGGCCTGGCAGGGCACATCTGGCCCTCAGGCTGCATTTTGCCCGCCCCTGCCCTAAAATCATGGTGACTTGTTACTGTTTAATCATTTAGGGTGCCTGTAGACATGTGGAACACCTGCCCCGATGCACCTAAGTACAGCGAGTCGGAGCAGGCTCAACTAATCGAGTACGCTCCAGTAGCCTGGGCATCTCGTGTATTCAGTGTCCCTGCGTCCCTGGCAGCAGGCATGTTTTTTAACTAAAGCTTTAACTAAAGCTTGTTCAATGAGCTTTAGTTAAAGTGCCCCTGCCGACATTTTGAAGTGCGGGATGCTGAATACACAAATCGCTGTGGGTGCTTTAATTAGAGCAGTTCCTGAGAGCCACTCTAATTAAAGCATGTGTGTGTCCCCACCCCCACCCATGAGCATACATAAAGACACCCTTAATTTGCTTCAAGTCTTTCCTTTATGACACTTGGCTTTGACAATACCTCATCTTTATGGCCTAAAACAGGATACCAGAAGCAGGACTCTCTCTAGCCTCTTCTGAAGACTAATGCAAACATAGCCTGTCTGCATTTGCCTGTGGAGCTGCAGCTCTCATTAAGTTCTGATTATCCGATGAATTATTTAGGGGTCCAATTTTAGGTACCCAGGTTTGAAAATATTGGCCTTAATTCCTCATTATGGCCCCGGTTCCTATCTCACAGGGGTACCATGGGGCCTAATTAATGATGAATATTTGTCCAAAAGTATGGAGGCACTTGAGAAAGGCCAAGCATTGCTGTTGCTTTGCTCAGTTTTGTGCGGGCCGGGAGCGGTCCAAGGCCCTCGGGGGCCTGCGGACACGCCGGGTCGGGGAATGCAGGCCGGTGGGCTAGAATTAGGCACAGACGCTTAGCGGTTGATTAAAGATTATTTTACTTACACCGAAGATGGTCGCGGTGCAGGCAGGAAAACTTGCTTGAGTTGCAGTTACAAAACAAAACAAAACTCGAACCTGCAGGGCACGAGAGTACGTCGCAGGGGGTTTTCGGCGACGGGGAGATAAACCTGCAGGACTCGAACCCGGGTAGAGCTCTGGATACACTCACACGAAGTTTGCTAGGCTCCGTGGAACTTGTGCGCAGGGAAGGGGTTCGTCGAGGGATCGTTCGGCGATGGGGAGAGGCCAGAGGTTGATCAGACCCCTATAGCCTGCGCTGGGTTCGATAGGCTCCGCAGCGCTTAGAGATCTTCACAAGACGTGAAGTTCTCCTCCTCCAGATGGTTGCGGAGTCCTCCCTTGCGGGGTTCTCCTCGGAGTTCTCCAACTTGGGCGGAAACCGCTCAAGCCTCTTATACGGCTAGCAAGCCAATCACTAGCCGCCACGTGGGAATAATTTAGAACTGGCCAATAGTGGGACACAAATTTGCATGCGGGTGGCGGGAACTCCTTTGCACCGTGCATTTCTCTTTGCAACTGAGAAATGCACCCTGCAAAGAAAGCTCCTTGTGGTGGGAAATAATTTAGCAGTGCCGAAGCGCACACAAACAAAATCACACCCTTGGGTTGTGACAAGTTTCAGTAAGGTTGCAGCAAGGGCTTTTGGAATAAATGGTTTAAAGGTGCATTGTTATGCACCATTTTTCTGTGGACTGAGTCTGTGTATTTCTTTTGCTAGGAATGGGGGTGGTCGGAGCGGCACTTTCTGTGCCTCTACCATGATCCTGGAGATGATCAAGTGTCACAACATGGTAGACGTTTTCTATGCTGCAAAGACCCTCCGCAACTACAAGCCAAATATGGTAGAGACATTGGTAAGTGCCACATGCCATCTGTTTTTCATTTGCTTTCCTCTAAACCCTCCTTTCTGGCTTTCCTGCATGCTTAAAGCTTTTCAGTCCTGTTGTATAGTGAAAGAACATTGAGATCCAATTAATCCACCTTGAACTAAGAGATCAGAAAAGACGAGCACCTACCCAACTAGAAGGTGAGATTATAAGATGTAGTCTCAGCCTGGCATCCTCCTTTGTTCTTCCCCTTCCCTTTTCCACTCGCTATTTACTGCATATTATGTGGGTCTATCACTAAGTTTGAGACACTCGCCTTGTGGGCACTAAGGGCAGCAGCCTACCCCACCTATCAAGCATCTCTGTGCAATCTTATTTTACCCTCCTTGAGTCCCTGAAAAATCATTAATGTGTTTTCTTTTATAACACACTGTAATCTTAGCCACGGGAAAAAGTACCAAAAAGCTTTCTGCTAAATAAGAGTGGAGCATTCTGTTTAACACAGTGAATGCAATTCAAGCCATTTGAGGGGGTTTATAAGCAGTGAGGGGCCTGGCTGGGGAATAGAAAGAAGCAGCCCTACTGAAGCTTTTTCCTGGTCTTAGGTTCCCTTCCAGCCTCCATGCTCTGGCTGGACAGCTTGCTGGGGTTCACGAGTCTGGGCTGTGTTTGGATTGAACCCACCCAGTGCATGTTTTCATGTGCACACCACGTACAACGGGAGTGATCTGGTTCCCAAAGCAGGGGAATGCAGCAGAACGCCCTTTGGGCATTAGGTTCATTCAAGATGCACACTCAGGAACCTGAGCAGGTGCAGATCTGCATGACTAGAAGCTGAAGGCTCACTGGGGGTAAACTGGCTAAGTCAGAAACCAGTCCACACTGGAGATAAAGCAGGCCTGTCATGCACCCATTGTGGTGTCCTTTTTCCTCTGGTGACATGTTTGATGGTAATTTTATAAAGGAGATAATCCTTATGCACCATGGTTATAATGGACAAGCTACTCAGCATGAATGCAGAAAGAGCTAATACAGTCCTTGGATGTATAATTAAGAGCATAAGAGTAAAATGGTGATTTTTCTTCCATATGCAGCACTGATGAGCTTGAAACTGGAACACTACCTATAGCTCTTGTGCTTACAGTTTCAAAAGGATATTGAAAAATTTGAGAAGGTGTAGGAAAGGGCCACAAAAATGATTGAAGAGCTAGAGAAACTGTTTTACAATGAGGCACTTGCAGAGTAAAATCTGTTTAGCTCCTCGAAAGGAAGATTGAGCGGTAACTTGATTCTCCAGCAAGAAAACACTGTGTACCAGCGATTCAGTGAAGGGCATAACGAGAACTAATGGCTGGAAGCTGGAACCAGACAAATTCCTGTTGGAAATAAGCAATTCATTTTGAATAGTGGGGATGATTAACTGCTGGAAAAGCTGCCGCAGGTAACAATGCAGCATCTCTTGATATCTTCAGACTGAGTCTGGATGGCTTTCTGGAAGAGATGCTGTGGCCAAACAGAAATTATTGGGTTTGATACAGGAGTAACTGAAATGTAATGGGCTGTGCTATTCTGTAGGTCAGATGGGATGTCCTTAAACTTTGAGGCTAGATCCAGACATGCAGGCACATGTGGTTTGTGGCACTGCAAACCTCTGGCTGGGGCGCAGGGAGCCTCAGCACAAGGGCTCCGCAGCCCTGGGTGGCCTGCTCCCCCATCTCCACATGCCACTCCCTGGCTGGCCAGGGCACAGGGTTCTCAGTGCAGGGCATGGCTAGCCCCTG